GTGGGGTGAGCCGGGGCGCCGTGCCCGGCGTGGGGCTCGGCGCGTGGAGCCGGCTGGTGGCCGAGCGGGAGAGGCGCCCCCCCACCCCGGACCGCCGCGGGGCGCGAACCCCGCCCGGAGCTCCGGCCGCGGTTGTTTGACTTCCCCTCCGTGCGCTCCTGGGACCCGGGCGCCCCCAAAGACTTGATTGAACTTGCGGCGAGAAGCGCTGTGTTACACGAAAACTGATCCAGACTGGCACCGGCGCTCGGGGCCACGAGGAGGGCCAGCCCCGCTTCTGAGGCCGGCCCCTGGCTCTGGGGAGCTGTCTCAGGCTCGCGGGAGCTGTCTTGAATTCCCCGGGGGACTCGGTTTGGAAGCCCTGGGGCCCGGGCCTCTGGGCGGGATGCTGAGAGCCAGTCTAGTCGGAGGCAGGTGGAAGGCCGAGTCCCCCGGCCTCAGTACATGCCCCCTCCTAGTCGGTCTCCCTAAGTCTACCGGGTCAGCCTGGGACGGTTGATGGAGTTACACAGCCCCGTTAAAAGGATCATGATTAAAAACCTCCCAAGTGGAATGATTTTGGAATCTGTCAGACTCCTTTTAGAAGAGGACCAATCCGCGGAAGCACTTTGTAGCTGGTGATTTTGCCAGTGTGAACCAGGCTCAACCCGTTACATTGGAGACCTGTGGTGATTTTAACAGTAACATCAACAGACTCTGACCATTTGTCCAACAAGCTGACTTTAACAGGTGAAGGTAGAAAGCCCTAAGTGGCCTAACAGCCATTGCTGTTTGAGTGTTGAAGCAGTTCTTGGTATTTTAATATGAAACAAAAGTTTCAAAGTGAGGGAAATGGGCACATATAACCATGGGCAAGTAGGTGAAGTTGCTGCTCTAGTTTTTTTCCTGTGTTAGTTTTGAGATGTTTTGTTTATATGTCAACTAGGAGAAGGAAGAGACCAAGTGAAACCCAAATTATGCTTGTATGGAATTCTTCTGAAGATGGGATGTGTGGAAAATATGACCAAGATAAAAATGTATATTGGCTGTAGTTTCAGGTACCAAGGAGGCTGGAATTATAAAACAGAGTATAATAAAGTTTACTTGCTTTGGATACTTTAAGGTTTATGGAGGAAAAAACCCAATCATTAATTAACAATAATACTTGCAGACAACCTTCACGGTCAAAAAATATATAGATGGAAAGCAGTGGGCAGGGAAGTGCAGGTTGTCCCTTGCTCACAGACGGACATAGGACAGAAGGTGCGTTGCTAGGTAAGATTTCAACACACCTGTGACTTCAGGAGTTGGTGGAGATGATCATCTCTCTCTGTGTTTTTTGTTGGAAGGTATTTGATGGTTGGATTCTCAAGGGGGAGAAGTTCCCCAGTTCTCAGGATCATCCTCTCCCCACAACTGAGCGGTACATAGATTTCTGTGACAGTGGTCTTAGCCGAAGGAGCATCAGATCCTCCCAGAATGTGGCCATGATCTTCTTCCGGGTTCGTCAACCAGGAAACGGATTTACAGTAACCATAAAGACAGATCCCAACCTCTTTCGTAAGTGGGCTCCTTCTCTTCTCAGTCAGTAAGGACTTGGAGGGAGGGAGTGTCAGATCCACTTTTCATAGGTAGTGTGATTGCACCAGACTTAAGAAACTTGAAGTGAGGAATGATTTGAATGGAAATTTTTTTTTTTTGTCATTAGAAATGACCTAAAGGATATTTCCTATTCATTGCTCTGAAAATCAATTCACAGTTTTCAACTTATTTCCTAGGCTAGGTAGGATATTAAGTTTTGGTGGGTAGAATTTTATTTTTTTCTCTTTAGTCTTATTCTAATCTGAGGCATGACAATGGATTCGGTGACAAACTGTAATCCCTCCATGTCATTCCATTAATCTTGGATACGCTTGAGGGATCAGATCTGAAGTTGTAGTCTTAGAGATATTTAGGCAAAGGCTGAAAGACTGCATCTCTGGGATGTGGTAGACAGAGTTCATGTCCTGAGCAGAGGGTTGGACCAGAGGACCTCAACATTGCCCTCTAATTCTGAGTCCACCTCTCTAACTTATTCCGTTTCTGGTGGATACAAACATAGATGCTGTATAAAACTGAACAGCCCAGGCCTAAAACACATTATTCTAATCAAAATTAGTTCATTCATCTGCTTATTATTTTTCCCCATGAAGCGAAATATATATATGCATCTATATATTTACAGAGTTAAATGGAGAAAAATAGTTTTTTAAAAATCGGGAAAATAAAACATCACTCATTTTTGGTTGCATACAATAGTATTAATGTTGACACTTTGTGTGGTGGAAGAATGGGGCCTTATCTGCCAAAGAATAATGTATTATATTCTAATTTTTATTTTTTAAAAAAGAGAATTTTTGAAAGAACCCCTCCCCCACCCCCGCAAGGCTATTTTGAGAGCTAGAATAATCCCAGAAAGCAACATGAAATGTTTCTCCTATATTTGTGTGGTTAGAAGTCGGAAATCTTTGGGGTGCCTGGGTGGCTCAGTCAATTAAGCCTCCAACTCTTGATTTCAGCTCAGGTCACGATCTCATGGTTTGTGGGTTCGCGCCCTGCATTGGACTCTGCACTGACAATGCAGAGCCTGCTTCGGATTCTCTCTCTCCCTTTCTCTCTACCGTTCCCCTACTGTTCCTCTACCGTTCTTCTATTTTTCTCAGTCTATTTTGTAACAATTTTATTATTTATTTACTTCATTATTTAAAAAAAAATCATTATGATTCTGGGGCGCCTGGGTGGCTCAGTCAGTTGAGCGTCCGACTTTGGCTCAGGTCATGATCTCACAGCTCGTGACTTCGAGCCCCGTGTTGGGCTCTGTGCTGACAGCTCAGAGCCTGAAGCCTGCTTTGGATTCTCTGTCTCCCTCTCTCTCTGCCCCTAACCCACCCACATTCTGTCTCTGTCTCTCTCAAAACTAAATAAACATTAAAAAAATATATCATTATGGTTCCAAGTTCAATGAGTGAATGTTTCAGACAGGCAAGGTTTTAGTTCTGGCTTTACCTTTGAGCCTTTATTTTTTTTAGACTTTCAGCTGGAACTTGGACCCTAGTTAATGAAGTGTTTCTAGAACTTCCACTAGCTAGTGTTGTTTGATTAATTACTAATTTAAGTCTTGTGCTTGTTGTAAACAAGGTAACTCCCTGAGATTGAGATTGAGATTAGAAGCATTCTTTTTTTTTTTTTTTTTAACATTTATTTATTTATTGAGAGACAGAGACAGAGCATTAGCAGGGGAGGGGCAGAGAGAGAGGGAGTCACACATTCCAAAGCCGGCTCCAGGCTCCGAGTTGTTTGCACAGAGTCCGACACAGGGCAAACTGCGAGATCATGACCTGAGCCGAAGTCGGATGCTTACCCGACTGAGCCACCCAGGTGCCCCAAGATTAGAAGCACTCTTGCCACCTAGAACCTTCTGACCATGTCTGCACATCACCAGTGATTTTTTATTACATTTAAAAAATATTTATTTATTTTGAGAGAGAGAGGGAGTGGAGGAGGGGCAGAGAGAGTGATGGAGAGAGAGAGAATCCCAAGCAGGCTCCTCACTATCAGCATGAAGCCCGACATGGGCCTTGATTGCATGAACCTGTGAGATCATGACCTGAGTTGAAATCAAGAGTCGGAAATTTAGCCGACTGAGCCTCCCAGTCGCCCCAGATAGGATAAATTTCTATTAGAACCCTGCATACCCATAATGACAATGTGATTCTGTTTTTCCGCAAAGCCTGCAATGTCATTTCCCAGACCCCAAATGGAAGGTTTACCCTGGTAGTCCCGCACCTGCATCGAAACTGCAGCTTCTCCATAATTTATCCTGTGGTGATCAAAATATCTGATCTCACCCTGGGACACTTACATGGTTTGCAGTCAAAGGTGAGTTGCTTTCTTCCTTCCCAATCATTTACTAAGGCCACAGCTTTATCAGAGGAGGAGCGATCATACAGGGCAAACATGGACATTAGTAAATTGTGGGAGCATGCTCTTCTGTTGATTTAGCCCCACATCCGCTTTCCCTCGCCTCTTTGATGAAAGCCCCCTTCTATTTGCCTCACGCTGCTCGGTGCGTACTCATGTGCCCCTTCCGATTACTTGACTACTTTTCTCGAGATACAGGAAAGGTTTTCAATTGGGAAAGTTGTGACATGTAATTACAATTGAACTCTCTGGTACTTGCCTCTTTTACAGAAATTCTCTCCTAGCAGAACCTAGTGTGAGTCATCTACACAGCTGTTTTTCTGATTATCGGAATTTTTTTTTTGACACGAAGGAAGTGTCTCATTGACAGAACTGTGTTGTGAAGGAATGCTAAGTGTAGCATAAAATACAAAATTGGATTTTTAAGTTGCAAAATACAGTAGAGTGTTGAAGATTTTGTTGCATTATGTTTAACTCAATTCATTTTGCATGAAAATATTAGCTGAGAAGCTCCATCAACCTATATTCCTTTGAACTTCTGTATGGAATTTACAACTAATGCTGAGCTTGATCTTTTTTTTTTCTTTTTTCCCTTTTTTTTTTTTTTTTTTTTTTTTTTTTTTTTTTTTTTTTTTTTTTTTTTTTTTTTTTTTTTTTTTTTTTTTTTTTTTGTACTGCTAGCTTCTTCCCTCTGGGTCATTCTCATTTCCTTATACTTTCTTATATTTCTAGGTTAAGATAGCTCATATATTTGCTGACATCATAGACAGTTATTGTTCCTAATTAGGTAGATTCCAGTAAAAACCAAATAAATAGGACCAGGACTGAAAATAGGTGTATATCTAATTTCCTTTAAGCCCTGAATTCATGAGCTAGTGACTGTTTGTTGTTGTGTTGTTTTGTTTTGTTTTGTTGTTTTTTTGGGGGGGTTTTGTTTAGTTGAACCTTAGTGGAAGAATGATCCTTTGATAAAGACCAGAATAAGGAGATGTCTTTGGCATAGCCCTTCGTCCTGATACCACGTATATGTTATTCCTGATGTATACTGTAGAAGATGGCAAGCATGATCGCAGGTTGGGAGATCTACCCTTTAGTTATTCTAGGCTGTGAGGAGTAATTTTGGTATTTCCCCTTGAAAAAATGTTAAAGTCTGCAGGGTTCTAGGCATCTATCTATTCCTTTACAAAATATTTTTTTGAGCACTTTCCACATGCAAGGCACTTTCTTAGATGCTGGAAATGAGCGGCGAGCAACAGAGCTCCTGCTCACAGGGAACCTGCATTCTAGTGGGTTGAGCTCAGCAACAGTGCAATGCATTTGCAATAGCGGTGAGTGCCCTACAGAAAATGAGGCAGAGTGGTGTGATAGACAATGCAGTAGAGGGAGAGGCGGGAGCTCCTTGAGATAAGGTGGTCAGGAAAGGAAACTTCTGAGAAGGAGGAATTTAAAGTAAAACGTGAGTGATAGGTAAGAAGGAGCCAGCAGCCACTGGAAGGACCAGGGACAGAGGAGATGGCAGTGCAGAGGCTCAGAGGAAGAAGTGGGCTTCCAGAAATAAAAAGAAAGGTATGGGGAAGGGGGGATATCAGGCAACATCAGGGAGGCGGGCAGAGCCAGGGTGTGGTGAACCCAGCAGGTCATATTGAGGATTTGGAGTTTATTGTAAGTGCAGTGGGAAAGCACTGAAAGGGGGCAGGCAGGAAAGCAACATGATCCATTGGATTATGCTTGGTGGGATGAGGGTGGCTGGGAATCGCTGACTGCATGACCAAATTAATTAACAAGGTCCAAGGCAGGAGGGAGAGGATTGATTACCTAAAGGCCATTCTGGCTTTGCATGGGCTATGGGGGCCAGAGTGGTACAGGGAGTGCCCCTAGGGGCCATTGTCATAGTCTAGGCAAGAGATGATAGTGGGTTAGTCCAGGGAGGCAGAACCTCAACAGAGAAACCTAGGGGATCACTACTGAGGAGCAGTGTAGTATAGTACTTCTCATTCCTAAGAATAGCTAAGATGTTTGGGAAGAGGAGAGAGAAGTCATTGAATGTCAAGGAACAGGTGTGTCTAACTTCTATGTTTCTTTGTTTGGTTTCCCTCGTTTTAGCACCTACTTCTTCCCAACCCCCGTACTTCCCATTTCTCTCTACGGGGCCTGCCTTTTCCCTTTCACCACTCTTGCTGAAATTTAGAACCTGAAGAACCGAGTGGAAAGTTTAGTCTTAACAGATGTTCCCCCTGGACATCCTCTACTCAAGGGAGAGGCAGTTAAGGTTTTTTTCCTTCACCTCTTATTCAGCTCTTCATACAAGAAGCCCTGTCCACAGGGGAGCTAGTTAAGCCTCTGTTTCATTCTTGGATGAAATGATGTGTAGAGCATCAAGGCATAGGACCCAGCATACAGTAAGCACTTAAAAAATGTGTGTCCCCACCTACTTCCTTGTATTGGCCAAACAGTTGGTATTCTATTTTTTTTTCTACTCGGTTGTTTAGTTCTAGTTGCATCTCAATGTCTTCTGCATGTTTGAATGTGTGTTTTTATGTGTGTGCATGCGTGTGTGTGCTTAACATTGTCTATTTTAGATGTTTTTCTGTATGTGTCAGGGTCCGTGTGGCTCACTTCTGAGCATCTTGCCGCTCTGCACTAGATCTCTCAATGAGTATGCCTCAATAAAGAAGATCACAGGCAAAGCTGGCCATGTACTTGTGGGAGACAGTGCAAACTGAAAATGTGGGGGGCCCTTATTTTAAAAGTATTAAGAATTTCAAGATGGTGACAGCACAGCATTAAACCAAGCAATAGGCCCTTGTATGGCTTGTCTGGCTTGTGGTCACATGCCCACAAAGACTAGTAGCCCTGACCTCAGGAGATAGGTGGCCCAAAGTACAATGTTTGGGACTGAAAGCGGCTGCTTTATTTGTGTGGGAAGAGTGAAATGCAGGAATTTCTGTGGACAAGGCAGTGTGGATAGACAGTGTGGATAGGCAGTGTAGATAGGCAGTATGGACAAGGCAATATGGACAAAGCAGTGTGGATAGGTGGTGTGGACAGGCAGTGTGGACAAGGCAGCGTGGAAAAACCAGTGTGGATAGGTAGTGTGGACAAGCAGTGTGGACAAGGCAGTGTGGATAGGTAGTTTGGATAGGCAGTGTGGACAAGCAGTGTGGACAAGGCAGTGTGGACAAGGCAGTGTGGATAGGCAGTGTGGACAGGCATTGTGGACAAGGCAGTGTGGATAGCCAGTGTAGACAGGCAGAGTGGACAGAGCAGTGTGGACAAGGCAATGTGGACAGGCAGTGTGGATAGGCAGTACAGACAGGCAGCATTAACAGGCAGTGTGGACACGGCAGTATGGACAGGCAATGTGGATAAGCAGTGTAGACAGGCAGCGTGGACAGGCAGTGTGGACAAGGGAGTATGGACAAAGCAGTGTGGAAAGGAAGAAGGGAAGCAGAAAGTGGTTGTTACAGTGATTGTGCAAAGTCTAAGAATACATTCTGGTTTTGAGTAGCTCAAAATAAATTAGTTTTGGTCGGGAGGAGAAAGACAATGGTGACTCTAGCTAGCTTAAGCCCCAAATTAGGGTTCTTTTCTTTCTTTAGCATTCTTATAACTAATCTAAATGCCTGTCAGCAGAAATGATAAGGATCATCCCAATAGCAGGAGAAGTCTTTTATAAAGAGGAGGGAAAGAGGTGAGTTGAAGGAAAAACTGTAAAGACCTATCTATTAATAGAAATTCTGACTGCATGAGTTAAGAAATTCAAATAATTCAGTATGTATGTCCAAATGATTTACAAAGCAAAGCATTTTCAGATCCAATTTTCATTCATTTTATGTGGAGTTTACAGATTCCTATTGCATCATTCCAGTCCTTGAGCTGATAAAAAAAATTTTTTAATGCACACACATTTAAAGAAATGATTACTCAACTGATTTAGAAAAGCAGTTCTTATGATTATTTTTTCTTTTCAGTATCTTTTAATTTCCGGAGTCCTGGGTGTTAAATTAAATGGCACTGCCAGGATGTCCACGGCAAATGGAGTGAATTCACCAAATTGCAGTTGGTCAAATGGTTTGACTTCCGTAACTGGTTGAAATATATCTTTCTCTGCTGCTTGCTTCTTTTAGAACCCCTCAGCAGGTTGTGGGGGAATAGGAGACTTTGTGGAGCTGTTGGGAGGAACTGGACTGGACCCTTCCAAGATGATGCCTTTGGCTGACCTCTGCTATTCCTTTCACGGCCCTGGTGAGATGTGTCTTTGATTATTACTTATGAGCCTATCAAGATTCCTTAAATAAAACCTGATACTTCCTTAAATAAAACATCCCACGTTTTTTATACATGGGAAGGCAGGTTCCACCTAGAAAGCTTCCATTTTGTACATTGAGCCAATGTGAGGATTTTACATTTGAGCATATGTATGGTTATAGTGAATGCATTTTCAAAATATCGGACACTGGAAAAGAAACCCCTGAAGGAACACAGGTGCATGTTTAAGGTTGGCCCTGAGTAAGACCATGAAAAAGACAAAGCTTTTTTTGTTCCGTGCTCTTTCCGCCTTTCTGAAAGTCGGTGCTTTTGTCCTCTGGATACCAAAGAGTTTACTAACTGAAAACTATAGTTCAAATAGATATGCCATCAATTAGTTACAATATAATAATATCCAAATAAATTTCCTAAATATATGTGTATGTGTGTATTACTCGTAGCACACAAATTAAAAAGTGATATTCTTTATCAGAAATTCTCAGAACTGCTGAATGTCCCCAACTTCTAGGAGCAAAACCAGCTTCTGAAAGACTACTGCAAAAACAGAAATACATTCTAAAATCTAGACGTGGTCACTGGAAATAAAAGACCAGGTCAGTGCACAGGATGCCCAACAGAACCAGATATTCTTTGCTAGGGATCAGTGAAGATTTTCCATTTGATTCTGCCCAGGTATGGTGAGGGTGGCTGGAAATTGCTGGTTTAGACCATCAGTACATGTGGCTTTTCTCGCCTCTTACTACATTCTCTGAGGCACTGGATCCTTCCATGCAGGAGGGCACCTGTGAGGAGATGCATTTGCACTAGGTAAGAAGAGTAGATTAAGGTCTAAAGACAACTCTTGCCTTAAAATGTAGGTAATTGAAGCCAGAGTAATTTTGGTACAGTTATGTCCAGTAATAAATAAATACGATGCACATTAACGAAGGAAACAGAGCGTGTTATATATATTAAAGTTTAGAGTAATATCAGAAAAAGAATGACCTTTCAAATAATTTAAAGCAAATTAAATTTGGACTCCTCACAGAAGCTTAACCTAGACTTCCTGGTGCTTATATAAAAGAAACATAGGTTTTATATTTATTATGTATCTAAATTGGCTTTTACCTCAATAAGTATCTAGCTGTTTTACTTCATTTGAACCCAGGCACAGGCTTGTGAAGTACCTCTTATGCAATGATAATGTTCATGTTTCTCAGAATGCTATAGGCCTTATAGAGACAAAGTGGGGGAGGGAAAGATGGACAAAATTAAAATAGCAGAAAAAAATCATCGTAGGGCACATAAATCTTGCCTCAGGGACCAGCTTGACAGTGGAGAAATGAAAGAAATTTTAGATAAAAATATGTGAGTTTCAATATACACTTGTTTGGTCATATCTGCACTAGAAGATAGACATAAACGTTGCCAGATGCTTATACAAATAATAATAAGATTGGATTTAAGAGAAGTAAGGATATCAAAAGCCATTCCATGTAAGAAGCACAGAAAAAAATGAGACTGAAAAGGTGCAGGTAAATAATAGAACAAACCCAAGTATATTCATGTGTATCTAAACTATGCAAATTATTTTTGTTTATATGTAAAATAGAGTTATTATCTAGGCTCAGAAAATAATTAGCAGGTGATTTTTTTTTGGTCTATGTAATGTTCATCGGTGCACTCTGTCCTCTAGCCATGTCCACTAACTGCCACTTGCATCCTCAGAACTATGACAACCAAAAACTACACCTGCAAATTCCCAACCTGTCCCTAGAGGGCGGTACTGCCCCTGCTGAGAACACTAAGCTAGAGCAGAGGTGCATGGTAGACAGATTGCCTTCACTGCATTTACCGCAGAAGCCTCGAAGGTAGGAGAATGTGAAAAATGCAAAGAGACGTCTTATTGCCTCTGTTAAATAACAAAAATTCAACTGAGTAGATTTGAAAGATCTCATTGGCTTTACGAAATAATTCATGAATCGGGGAGCATTCCATCTAGCAAGTAGAGGGGTCCCCAAGGCATTGTACAAAATGGAAGGTTTTTATAGAAGCGTAGGACAAGAAATTTGGCAAGAGAAAAGGATTGTTCCAGGCAGGTCACTTTCCCTGAGGGGGAAAAGCAAGGTGTCTTTCCTGCAGATTGCCTCATCTTCCTTTGGGGGGATGGAGAGGGCCCCTGTGGCAGATTCCTTGACGTTGATGGAAAAATTCCTGACTGACTGGTTAAGGCTATTTTTCTAGGGGAGGTTGAAATTACAATTAAATTAGGTATTCAGCCCCAGTTTGGGACCTTGGTCTCAGGGACGCCATTTTGGGCCTGCGATTTTCTTTTCAACTCCTCTTTCCAGCCAGTTTTATTTGGCTAACAGTGTGGTTTTTTTTTTTTTTTTTTTTTTTTTTTTTTTTTTTTTTTTTTTTTTGCCCATGAGGAGAACTGAGTTCAATTTCAGTATCCTACAATTAATTATATATTATAATAACAATGAAAACAAAACGTTTCACCTGATGGCAGGTGCATGGTTTAAGTATGTGAGAGGAAGATACATCCCCCTGCTTTCTTTGTGTTTAAATGATCTTATCGACAGGAACAGTTTATGTGGTTTCTAACCTGCAGGGAACCTTCTGCTTTTTCCATGAATTATAGCCCAGATGAAAATTGGCTGTGACAACACGGTGGTGCGCATGGTCTCTAGCGGAAAGCACGTAAATCGTGTGACTTTTGAGTACCGCCAGCTGGAACCATATGAACTGGAAAACCCAAATGGAAACAGTATCCAAGAAATCTGTTTGTCTACTCTTTGAATAACCAACCCCATGATGTACATGCTGCTAGCTAAGTGAGTTTTTAATGGCTGTTATATATGATTTTGATGACCAGCAAGGTAAGAGCCTTTCGAATCAGTCAGTATTCCCAGGCTTGGACACACATTACACATACACACACACATATGTAGACACACACGTGGGCGTGCAAGCGTGCATTTATTTTTGTACCTTGCTTTTTTTTCATTTGTAATGTATAGACGACCACATGGCAGCAGATAAACCCTCCTTTGCCTTTGGTAGGAAAACAGTTTTCTATAATTCTTTGGTATGCTACAAACCTGCCCTGATAAGGCAAGTGCAGAGCAATGGGCACTAAAAAATTGTATCTCAAGGGAAAATACGACAAAGAAATTAAAATGGCGGTGTTCAGATTCGTCTTAGAACAGAAAGCAATTAAATGTCTGTATACCAAAGTAGTTGTATCTGTGTATTTTCTGTATATTATTCTGTTTACAATAGATAGTAGTCGTAGCTGTTGTTTATTGATTTGTAATGTCTTGTTGCTAACAAAACTCTGGAGCATGGAAAAAAATTTTCCATCCACAAATACAAACATGAATAAATACATCAGAATGTTGGCGCCTTGACATTGTGCTTTGTTTTCCTGAGTAGTCCCCTCCCTTATTACCATCAGAAAATAGTGTTCTCGTGTGATGCAGAACCAAACGCTGAGCTAAATCATGTTACGCGTCTTCATGCTGGTAGAACTGTGGGCCTCTACAGCAGAATGATTTAGAGCAGAAGGCAGAACTGCAGTGTTTGCACAAACAACGCTAACTGGTCCTCGTAGGGAAGCAGGATGCAGAAACCCCTTTCTACTGTCCAAGAAGACTGAGAATACATGTTTTTGTCACAATGGGGTGTACTTCTTTTTTTTATTAGTTTTCTTTATTTTTTTTTTTTTTTTTTTTTTTTTTTTTTTTTTTTTTTTTTTTAGTTTTCTTTATTTTTGAGAGGCAGAGAGAGACATAGAGCATGTGGGGGAGGGGCAGAGAGAGAGAGAGAGACACAGAATCAGAAGCAGGGTCCAGGCTCTGAGCTGTCAGCACAGAGCCCAATGTGGGGCCCGAACTCAACGAACCGTGAGATCATGATGTGAGCCGAAGTCGGATGCTCAACCGGCTGAGCCATCCAGGTGCCCGCCAATGAGGTATACTTCTTAACAAGGACAACAAGGGCCTTACAGCTCTCATAGATGTTTGCAGAAATCTTAGGCCTTCTTTGGTACCGAGGGCAATTTACTGTTGACTTAAGACTTGTCCATGTTTGGCTAGGGACTAAGCATGTGGCCTGTGAAAGACAGGATGGGACCAAAACTGAGGTCCTGAGCAAAAAAGGAAATACTCCTAAGTGAACTCTTTACTTTGAATTAATGGATAGAAGCTACAAGCAATACCATAATTAATGGCCTGATTATGATTCCCAAAACATACATTCTTAAATTTAAAAAAAATTTTTTTTTTAATGTTTATTTATTTTTGAGACAGAGAGAGACAGAGCATGAATGGGGGAGGGTCAGAGAGAGGGAGACACAGAATCTGAAACAGGCTCCAGGCTCTGAGCTGGTAGCACAGAGCCCAACGTGGGGCTCGAACTCACGGACCGTGAGATCATGACCTGGGCCGAAGTCGGATGCTTAACTGACTGAGCCACCCAGGCGCCCCAAATTTTTTTAATGTTTATTTATTTTTGAGAGAGAGAGAGAGAGAGAGAGAGAGACAGAGCGCGAGTGGGGGAGGAGCAGAGAGAGAGGGAGATACAGAATCTGAAGCAGGCTCCAGGCCCCAAGCTGTCAGCACAGAGCTCGACATGGGGCTCAAACTCTTGAACTGTGAGATCATGACCTGAGCTGAAGTCAGACACTTAACCGACTGAGCCACCCAGGCGCCCCCTGAAATATCTTTAATATAAAGGTCATTTTATAATGAAATGTACTGGCATCCCATACACTGGGCTTGTTAACAAAATTTGAAAACCAAGCAGAAAGAAAACTACTGAATGAGGGTGCTAAAAACACCTAGGATTTAGCACAAATTTTGGCTCAGTAGATATTTTGGAATGAGTGAATACTTGAGCAAATGAATGAATTAATGCCCGAATTGATAAATGAGTGGATGGATGAATAAATGGTAGGAGAAAGACTGGCATGAGTGAATAAATGCGTGAATGGCTACAGTTCCTGGCTAGTTATATAACAAGACATCGGATTCCTTATTTCGTAGACAAGAAATTCTATGAAGTTGAACCCTTTTCTTTTTCACGGTTCCTTTAGCAACATAAGAATGAATGTAGTCACATCACTGCTTACAGTTTCTGGCTTTTAATTCTTACGATCCCCTTACGCTGAGTACAGAAAATGGTCTGAGGTAAGGAGGCAAGTATTTTACGTGGAACTTTGGACAACCTGCTTTTATTCCTCAGGGACAGTTTTCAAGCTACTCAACCTCGCTGCCCTAAAACGGGTGGACTGTGTGTGGCCCTTCTAACCCTGACAATCTGCATTCATTCATTTGTGGCATATTTTACTTCCAAGCTTATCACTGCGACAGAGCACACATTTTTTGAGAGGACAGCCCCTCCAGTGAACTGCCCAAGACGTTCTTTGGATATCCATGACTTAGTCTGCATTCCAAAAGGATGGGGCAGTTTTCTGGAAACAAAATGGTAGGTGAAATCTCTGGGAGAGAGTTACATGGTGTGTCCTCATTGGCACCTTCACTAAGTGAGTAAATGTTATCTGAAATTCTGGCCAAATTTGATGATCTAGGAAAGGCAGTATGCACAGTGGTTAAGGTCATTGACTCTGGAGGCAGACTTCTTAGAATCCCAGCTCTGCCATTTACTTGAGCAAGTTACATATAAGTCTCACTGCTCAGTTATCTTTTTATTTTTTTAATGTTTATTTATTTTTGAGAAAGAGAGAGAGAGAGAGAACGAGCGGGGGAGGGACAGACAGGGAGGGAGACACAGAATTCGAAGCAGGATCCAGGCTCTGAGCTGTCAGCACAGAGCCTGACATGGGGCTCGAACCCACAAACCGTGAGATCATGACCTTAGTCAAAGTCAGACACTTAACCGACTGAGCCACCCAGGCACCCCTCACTGCTCAGTTTTTAATCTGTAAAATTGGGGTAATAAAGGTACCTCCTTCCAATAAACATTTTTGTAAAGATTAAGTGGCTAAATGTATTTAAAGCCCAAGAACTAGGTCTTACACATGTTAGCTGCTACTTTTGTTATTTATTTCTTATAAGCAAATATGCCACCCTGGGTCCTCTATACTCTATGAGAGGTATTGGCTCTGTTCTCTGAAGGGTTTGTGCTGATTCATTGCCCTTTTTCATCCCAAAACATTTGTGAGGAAACTAGGTTTAATTTGGGTTATTGTCTGTGACTGGGAAGCAGAGTATAAAGTTACTGGTAACATTTGAGGGTGGATCATGTCAGGCCTTAACAGGTTCCCATGTGTTTCTCCTTATAGTTGACCCCTGTCTGTAGGTTCTGGTTGTGAAGGAGTCACCTCACAAATAATCTGTCTTGACTCTACCTTAGTGTGCAGCCCTCATCTCTGTGGTGTAATTTTCCTGCTCTTGGTTATCTCACTCTAGGTCTTGCCAGAACCTCCTCTCAGCCTCCCCTCCTAGCCCTACCTCTTCCCCAATACTAATTAGGTGACTCAGGCTCTGATACTGATCACTGAATTCCCAAATTCCTCTTGCCTCCATGCTTGACATTCTGAGCATTTGTTCTCCTAAGTTTTACTTCCGCTGAGCCTGTCCTATCCTCTGGACACTTTTCTACCTCCTGCCTTTTTTGCCTACTGTTGTTGGCATACATTGGTCGCCAATGACAATGGACTTTCAACCAGTATCTAAAGCAGCATATCTTCTTCACCTCCAACCTCTTCCTGGTACTGTTGCTTCATTTAGGAGAGGGCAGAAATGCTGTGTGTTCACCAAAACTCACCACAAGTTTCTTCTACCCCCTAAATATACAGCGAGGCCATATTTCCCAGTCTCCCTTATAGTTAGGTTTGGTCATGGGGCTGAATTTTGCTTGAAGGAACGTGGGTAGAAATGATGTCCAAGCCTCATGAGATCCTCTATGCCCTCTCTCTCCTCCGCTACCTCCTGGCAAGATAGCAAGATGCTAACAGAGGGATCCAAGACTATGCAAGAAGACAGAGCCATAGGATGCAAGGACCCCGGATTTCTGAGTGACCACGTGGAAGGCTGCCTATTGACCAGGAATTGGACTTGGTGTGAATGAGAAGTTAATTTTTATTTTTTATTTTTTTTTTTTTTAATATATGAAATTTATTGTCAAATTGGAGAAGTTAATTTTTATTATGTTAAGTTACTGAGATGATGATGATGATGACGATGATGATGATTTGGGTATAGCATTGAGCGTTCCCATAGTTCACACAAGGGGCTTGCCTCAATGTAACTCTCAGCTCTTCCCTAATTTTCCTGTCAGATTTTGTTGCAACTCTCCAGACAGACCTGATCTCATTGTCTTCCAGAGAAAAGTACCTTGAATGCGCATCCTTGATCTCATAAACACCAACATTTAACTGAAACGTATCTAACTGTATCGAACTTTTCCATATTCCTTAAAGAATCTTCTAAGAACACTGATTCTCAGATTTGAAAATTGGAAAATTTGACAGAAACTACAGAACATTTCCTAGGGAAAAAAGCCCAATATACATACGAACACACCTAAATTTCTGAGAATTTACGGGACCCTGAAGCCCACCCAAAGTTTCAGGATAAGAAAGAATCCCTGCTTCAAGAGTAAATAATGCCTAAAAGTAATTTCTAAACCAGTCTTCTCAAACCGGACTGCCCTCTCTTCAATATAAGTTAAAAACATTCATTGGTTAATCCAGGTGCAAAATAAGTCCATAATGGCACCTTAATGTTTCTGCTTTTATACTTAACTTTCTAATTTTTTTAAACGTTTGTTCATTTTTGAGAGAGAGAGAGAGAGTGTGTGTGTGTGTGTGTGAGCAGGGGCAGGGCAGAGAGAGGGGAAGACACAGAATCCAAAGCAGTCTCCAGGCTCTGAGCTGCCACCACAGAGCCCGACTTGGTGCTCAAACCCACCGACCATGTAATCATGACCTGAGCCCAATTCGGATGCTTAACCGACTGAGCCACCCAGGCGCCCCTTGTATTTGACTTTCTAATTTTGCCTTTTACTACATGAGTTTTTATGCCCTCTACGTAGTTTTTTCTCAGGGAGGAAATACATTTGACACAGGACAATTTTTTGTAACAAAGATTGTTCCAGAGTCTTTTCTCTCAACTTCAATTTTTCTTTTCTTGCTATTTTAATAGGTGGGCGGTGTTGCCAGAG